AGCCGAAGGATGAGCCAGGAGTTGCAGCACTCGGGCCCGAAGCAAAAACCAGCGCCTGTGGATCCTGTGGATGCTCGTTTGGGTACTTCTTTAGTCTCACTCAAAAACTCTGGCACAGAGGATGACCTGGGCCTGTTGGATTGCGTTCGGAGGTGACTTTGAAATCACGCAGAAAACTCAGAAAAACGAGGCTCGAAGAGCAGAGAAAACTTTCAAAAATGGCTTCGCGAAATTAAAGAAAATCAATCAAAGGCTTAATCTTGAATTGCTATGTGCACAAAAAGTTGAAGTTTCAAAACTTGAACTAAGACGATGTTAAAGAAAAATCAACGTGAATCAACACGTGGCGTAAAACTTAGAAGACTAAGAAAAAGTTCTAAGAGAAAACAAAGAAACGCACCACAGAAGGGTGTGGGCAGAAAAGAAGGGCCCAAGAGTAAGGGGCCTAAGAGAGTCAGCAGAAGAGCAGAAGCATAAGAGGAATAAGAGCGTGAAGAGCTAAGAGAAATAAGAGAGTGAGCAACCCCACTTCACTGGTTTTATCTTCTCACACTGGGTGTGTCTGAGGAGAAAGAGGAGGGGTCATCGGGTCTCTGATTATTTGATCTAACTTATTCTTTTGGCTGGTAAAAGAGTCAGATCTGATACTCACTCACTATGATTAATATCATTGAATGCTTGGTTTCATGATAAATAATTTGATACTAAACACATATGAATGAAGTGTAGGATCACATCAAACATTCTCATTATGTTTTAAGTATCACATTGAACATGCTAAATTACTCTGAAATGAAACAGATAGTAACACATAGAAACTGTGACCAACAAAAGAGTAAACACATGTGAATGAACGTCATCATGATTAATAATGGATTCTAAATACTCACATTAAGGTTATTCAATGACATTATAACCACCTAATGGTTAAAAATACTAAATAAACATCTACAATATAAACCAAACATTTCTAAACTGTTTCTGTTACCTAGAGTTAAGTTATGATTCATAGTCGATAAATTTAACTCTTAAAAGTTCATGAAACAGTCTGAAAAGCTGTTGGTCTAAAGAACTAAAGAATAAGGATTTATTCTGTCAGATAAGATAACTTGGCTTCTGAAGCACATAGAAAAACGGGAAACATCTCATTTTAACACAAATTTCATGATTAGACAGATTAGTACATTGCTGAATGCATAAGATGTCATGATCAGTCATTTGTATTCTTTCACCAAAGGAATGCAGTCTTTATCAGTGTATGGTCGAGCAGGGTTTTACGACCGAGGTCTGGAGGTCAGTGTCCCCCTTATCCTGGGGTCCGTATGTTCACACACTTTAAGACGCTTAATCTCAAATGGGAGATCTGGGTTAAGGTTAATGTTTATTTAGATGGTCAGCAAATGGAGTCAGTTTGAAAGGTAATAAAACTCTGTCTCTGTTCGCCGAACTGACCAATCCTGAAGAGTCAGAGGTTTAGTCAACCTCCGGTTGGGTCACTTATTTAACCTGAAAGGGCAAACACGTCTGGAAAGATTTATATCCTGTTTCCTGGGACCAGATAAGGAAACTTTCCTGTAAGGAATGTGTGGGTTTCACATCCAGGGTTGTCTTGATTGCTACAGTCCCCCCTTCGTCACGGTGGTCCTGTCCATGGAGCATCGGGACGACGAGTAGACAACCATGAAGCAGCAGCAGGTGTATGCAAATAGGACTGATGCGTCTCGTCATCACTATGTGAATCACTAGTACTGCTTTGAGATAAAATTAAGCATGCATTAAGCTATCAAATAAAATAGTCTTGTTGTTAGACTTTTCTCAGTTAACTATTGGTAGACTAATGTGAAAGAAAATCTCCTAATTTTCAGTATTAATGAGATTTAGGAAAGCACTATTTAGTCTGAATGCTAACTGGATCTAAAGATATAGCTGTTTTCCATGCTTGCTGGAGAAGTCTGAAAGTTCAATTTCAGTTTCAAAAATGGTTAAGACTTAGGTGGAAAAGAAATGTCTGCTATAGACATATTAACCATCTGTGTATGAGCATAGTCAACCTGAATCACAAACATCAAAAGTTTACTGCACAGAGTTTCTCTTAAACTTTGTCTGTTAAACTTGGGATGATGCTCTTATCGGTTTGACTAATTATCTGCTGTTGAGTCTGGAATTTGTCAATCTGAGTCTTAGTGACAGAAATTTCAGCTTTTAATCTGTTCATGGGATATTTGACAGCTGACAAGCTGACCATATTGACAGAGGAGAGACAAATGCTAACAAAGAAAGCAGCAACTGGGATTGCAGTCATCAATGTATCACCACAGCATTTGGATATCTTATTGGAGTCATTCAGCTTTGGCTGGGTGACTTCTGCTTTCGCAGGACTCACACCTTCATGACTCCGCAGTGTTAATCTCAGTGGTTAGCTGAGTTGTCATGTTTATTCACCTTCGAAGTGGATGAAACCGATTGAGGTGAATAATAAGATCGTCGTTTCTGAGAGTGTAATTTACTCTGATTCTGCCAGTCATTCACCCCCCTTTGGCGGTGTTGATGGTTTTTCCTTTGTCTGGGATAAAACCCACCGTGACGGGAGTCTGAATAACAACAGTTGGTCTCAAAGTTTACCTGGCATTGGTCTGTGTCAGACCTGGGCCTTGGTGTGTACCTTTGACCTTTGTGAATGTGTTGAGGTCGAAAAGGTTTTGGAGGCCTGGTTAACCACTCATTTGGAGGCTTATCGGAGCCTGAAAATACACAGTCTGAAGCTTCGTTCAGCTCCACGGGCAGTGATTTTGTCTCCATAGCCAAGAGAGTAACGGGCTCTGCTTTCTTAGCCAAAGTTTGTCGTTGTTTGGCAAAACCTTTTACAGCAAGTTCACGAAGCTGTCGGCTAGTCGAAGTGTTTGGACAAGCTAAGACGCCAAGGTGATGACTGGTGGTAGGGTGGAGGTTCTGGACGAACAGCGTTTTGAAGTTCAAGTCCTCCTCCATTTCTGGTTCATTTCGGAAACCAAAGTAAGCTTCGCGTAAGCGGTTGTAATACTGTTGGGGAGATTCTGATCTCCCTTGTTTAATAGACAGAGCAGCAGAGAGGCCTGTCTGGGTCAAATAGTCAGAAAACTCTTCAATTAATGCTTGGCAGAGCAAGTCATAATTATTTCTGACATGATAAGGCTGTCGTTCAAGGAAACTGCTAACCTCTCGACTTGACGTTGCCTTAATAAGGTAGATTTTGTCATCAATGGTTGCACCTGGAAATTTCCTCAGGTAAAAGTCAATGTCTTTCAAGTAGGTGCAGGTGTCAATAGCACCTTGGTGCTCAGGTTCAAAGCGTGCTATGTTGCGAGCAATTTTGTCAAGATCCCTATCTGAGGGAGATGGCAAGAAGCCATCATGAGGAGGAGAGTAGGACTCTTGGTTTAAGGATGACCTCTCAGGGTCAAGCAGGGTCCTGTCATGATGCTGAGAGAGATACTTAAGAGTTGGTTTGGAAGGAAGTGATGGCGCTCTCTCAGGAGGCTGATCACCTATCATTTCTTCAAGAAACGTTTGCTCCATGCGTTCTCTTTGGGCTCGACCTGACTGGAGGGAGCATTGTAACTCTCTTTGGGCATCTTCAAGTTCTTTGTCTGTCTTTTCTTGCCGTTCTTGACAAAGAATTAACTGTCTTTGAGCTATCTGGAGCTGGTGCCGTAAGGTAGAAGTTTGCTTCTCCTTAACTTCAAGAGCTTCAGCACGCACTTTGACCAGTGCTTGCAAAGCTTTTACATCTTCTGTTGCTTGCTCTAGCAGGGATTCTGACTGTATCAGATCCTCTGTGGTCTTAGCAAGCTGATTATTCGTGTCATCAAGTTCTTTCTCCTTTTTGTAAAGGGTTTCATTAAGTCTTTCAATCTTGTCTTTGAGATCAAGATTTTCTTCATGACTTATCAGTGAGGGAAGCTTTGACGCTTCACATCTGACACTGTGTTTTCCTAAAACACTTAGAGACTTCTTAGTCTCTTCTAGCGTCTTTTTCAGAGCGCTGTTTTCATCTTTTTGCGCCTTTATCTTTGCTAAAGCGCATTCCAGCAAGTAGTCTTTATACTCAAGCTGAGAAGACATCATGACAGACATGCATCTAGTGAGCTCTTTGTCACGAAGTGTCGTGGTTAAGGCTGTTTCCAGTAAGTCAGCCATTTCATCCTCCGGATTGGAGGGTTTGGCCTTATGAATCTTAGTCATGTACTGAGGTATCAGCTGACTAGTTAAGTTTGCTAACACTGTGTGTATGTCCCTCAGGGGGTCTCCCTGGCTGGACTCTTTTGTGTTAGGCATGTTTGGTTTTGGTAAAGAGGAGCAGGTGGTTGGTTGATGAGTTTGAGTTGGCTTAAAATGAAAAGAAGAAGCAAAATATCAAATTAAGTGAGTTAATCGACTTAATTTATCAGTGCTTGATAAAGAGGAAGACCCTATCTGAGTAGATCTCTAATGGAGAGAAAAATAACAAAGTTAAATTCATTTCAATGAAAATTGAAATAAAACAAGGTGAAATAATGTTAAATTAAATTTAACATCAGATACAGAACCATTGAATAAAGGGTTCAAATTGTCTCCGTGTTGCAGAGATCAGCAAAGCTTAAATAAACTGCCTGATGCAGTTGGATGAATCTGAAACCAATGAAATTGTCAATTTAAGGAATTAACTCTGAAGTTAATTCACAAATCGCAATAAAGCCAAAGATTCAACTACCCAATTCATCTGCAATGGTAAAATAGATTTCAAATATTAATTAATTTGTTCATTAATTAATTAATCTTATGAGGAGGGTTAATACATTCATGTATTATAGGGAACAGTAAAACTGCTCAATGGTGTGATAAGTAACAACAGATCAGGTGATTGATTCAAGGAGTTACTTTATCAATACATTATGTAGGCTCTTATAACAAAGATAAAAATCAAAAATCAATGATCAATGATTTAGAATAAGCACATCAAACTTCATCAACCAAGTCAATCACTTGAGTTATGTCTGTAGAGTGTTACACACTGACTACAGAGAGGCAGTACAGCTGGCTGATACTGCAGGCAGATAATAGCAGTGTTAGCTCAATACCAAAAACAACCATGTGGGGCAGTATGGAGTTGGGGTAACTGCACAAGCTCAACACAAGTGGAGAAGAAGAAGAGAAGAGGAAACAGTCATCCAACTAGCCTCTTGTGGCTGTGAGGAGTTGGGAAGTGTGCAGGAAGGGGCCTTTAGGCTCTGCCTCCTTGAAGGGCCTTATCTGCTTAAGGCCAAAGGGTCAGTCTCTCCACTGACAACAAAGGGTTAACATTTCACAGCAGGCTGCGTCTGCACCCTCAAACATAGAACTTTACACCATCTGCTCAGGCAGATTGGTTCAATAAAATCATTTACAGGAACAAGAATCGAAGTGACAAATCCTTAAACAGCAGATTCAACTGCGGACTTTAAAATCACAAATGCGGCGATTTGTGATCACGAATTTTGTCTTAATTCATTCAAACAACAACCTCCCACTGTTACAGTGGTTTCCTGTGACAGGTAGTTAATCTGTCAGGGGAAAGGAGGAAATCTGAATCCCATATAGTTACTAGAACTTCGTAGCCGACTATAGAGACAAGAATCAAAGTGACAAATCCCTCAACAGCAGATTCAACTGCAGACTTTAAAATCACAAATGCGGCGATTTGTGAACACAAATTTTGTCTGAATTCAATCAAACAACAACCTCCCACTGTTACAGTGGTTTCCTGTGACAGGTAGCTAATCTGTCAGGGGAAAGGAGGAAATCTGAATCCCATATAGTTACTAGAACCTCGTAGCCGACTACAGAGACTTCAGGGGCTTGAAACCACAGCTCGGAGCATCGCGAACACTGGGTTCAGCCAAAGGCCTTAAATACAAGCGTACGGCGACGCAACAATCGTGCACTTAAATATTGGACAGTCTAGACAGAGCAGAAGAGTCAGTCTCACTGCTACTCAGAACAACATTTCACGCTGTCCAGCTCAAACACAGACTACAGGCATGTAGTACAAGAGTGTGTGAAACACAGAGCATAAAGGTTTTATGCATAGATCATGAAAGCATCAGAACTTAGTCAAGCAACTTCAGCAAGCATAGCATTGATTGTGATTAAGTCAAAATAGCCTGGAAATAAGTTTCTCGCATCAATTTGGAAGGCTAAGTTTTAGGTTGTCTGTTAGTATCCAGAAGTTTTGTTTGAAACGCCTCACGCAGGGGCACCAAAATATATGTAGTGATTTGAAATGAGCCTCATACGGTCGCACCAAAATATATGTAGCGATTTGAAATGAGCCTCACCAGGCCGCACCAAAATAATACTTGGCGATTGGAATTTATAATAAATGTCTGAAGATTAATAATCTCAAATTATGACATTTATGCACTCGTTGAAAGGGGCACCACCCACCCTTAATGGTGGGAAAATAAAGAAAACAAAAGTTTAATTCAGAAATCAAACATCAAGTCAGTTTTAATTAATCAGTCTTAATTAATCAGTCTTAATTAATCAGTCTCATATCTTAAGTCGAAATTCTAATTTCAGGGACTCCACTTCTGGAAGAACACTAACAGACAGGAACTTAGAAAAATAATGATCTGTTTATTACAGGATAAATGATGGTACAACACACATGCAATAAATGATAAGATGATGAAGATAAATAATAATAGGTGAATAAATAAAGATTCTGAGTCAGGCTAGGAGCACTAAAGTTAATGATAGTGAGTGAATATGCGCGAACATATTAACCTACACTAACTTTGGTGTCGAGATAAACTCGGGTGTAGATTTGGAGGAATCTAAGATCACCAGAAATAGGTGGATATCTGAGTTATGAACGCGTGAGACAGCATCAGCCCTGTCTGGAGCTCTGGAGGTTTGCATACTTAAGTGAGACTGGTCCTTGGAGAAGATGGAGCAGGTTCCGAAGGTCCGGGGCTACTGGCGGTTCGAGCGGTTCAGCTCAGAAGACGACTGAAGTCAGCCGAAGGATGAGCCAGGAGTTGCAGCACTCGGGCCCGAAGCAAAAACCAGCGCCTGTGGATCCTGTGGATGCTCGTTTGGGTACTTCTTTAGTCTCACTCAAAAACTCTGGCACAGAGGATGACCTGGGCCTGTTGGATTGCGTTCGGAGGTGACTTTGAAATCACGCAGAAAACTCAGAAAAACGAGGCTCGAAGAGCAGAGAAAACTTTCAAAAATGGCTTCGCGAAATTAAAGAAAATCAATCAAAGGCTTAATCTTGAATTGCTATGTGCACAAAAAGTTGAAGTTTCAAAACTTGAACTAAGACGATGTTAAAGAAAAATCAACGTGAATCAACACGTGGCGTAAAACTTAGAAGACTAAGAAAAAGTTCTAAGAGAAAACAAAGAAACGCACCACAGAAGGGTGTGGGCAGAAAAGAAGGGCCCAAGAGTAAGGGGCCTAAGAGAGTCAGCAGAAGAGCAGAAGCATAAGAGGAATAAGAGCGTGAAGAGCTAAGAGAAATAAGAGAGTGAGCAACCCCACTTCACTGGTTTTATCTTCTCACACTGGGTGTGTCTGAGGAGAAAGAGGAGGGGTCATCGGGTCTCTGATTATTTGATCTAACTTATTCTTTTGGCTGGTAAAAGAGTCAGATCTGATACTCACTCACTATGATTAATATCATTGAATGCTTGGTTTCATGATAAATAATTTGATACTAAACACATATGAATGAAGTGTAGGATCACATCAAACATTCTCATTATGTTTTAAGTATCACATTGAACATGCTAAATTACTCTGAAATGAAACAGATAGTAACACATAGAAACTGTGACCAACAAAAGAGTAAACACATGTGAATGAACGTCATCATGATTAATAATGGATTCTAAATACTCACATTAAGGTTATTCAATGACATTATAACCACCTAATGGTTAAAAATACTAAATAAACATCTACAATATAAACCAAACATTTCTAAACTGTTTCTGTTACCTAGAGTTAAGTTATGATTCATAGTCGATAAATTTAACTCTTAAAAGTTCATGAAACAGTCTGAAAAGCTGTTGGTCTAAAGAACTAAAGAATAAGGATTTATTCTGTCAGATAAGATAACTTGGCTTCTGAAGCACATAGAAAAACGGGAAACATCTCATTTTAACACAAATTTCATGATTAGACAGATTAGTACATTGCTGAATGCATAAGATGTCATGATCAGTCATTTGTATTCTTTCACCAAAGGAATGCAGTCTTTATCAGTGTATGGTCGAGCAGGGTTTTACGACCGAGGTCTGGAGGTCAGTGTCCCCCCTTATCCTGGGGTCCGTATGTTCACACACTTTAAGACGCTTAATCTCAAATGGGAGATCTGGGTTAAGGTTAATGTTTATTTAGATGGTCAGCAAATGGAGTCAGTTTGAAAGGTAATAAAACTCTGTCTCTGTTCGCCGAACTGACCAATCCTGAAGAGTCAGAGGTTTAGTCAACCTCCGGTTGGGTCACTTATTTAACCTGAAAGGGCAAACACGTCTGGAAAGATTTATATCCTGTTTCCTGGGACCAGATAAGGAAACTTTCCTGTAAGGAATGTGTGGGTTTCACATCCAGGGTTGTCTTGATTGCTACATGAGTGACGGCTGGCCTTAGTAATGAGGGACGGACTGACTGCTGCAAAGACTATTTGTATTCAAGAGTCTAGACCACAAATAAAACACAATCACACTTTTTCTGATCTATTTCAAGAAGAAAAATAAGTCCCACGTTGGCATTAGTATGCTATTGTTTTTTTTTATCCTTTTTGTTTTTTGTTTTTTTTGTATCCTCATGTAATTGATTTGTTTTTTGTTGTTGTTGTTTTTGTTTGTTTGTTTGTTTGTTTGTTTTAACTAGGTTCAGATTTTCTTTTCTTATCTAGGTTGAAACTCCAGTAAGTGGTTCCCACAGAGCATTTTTTGGTCTAAAAGAGGTCTAATAGACGTCTAAATATAGCCTAGATGACGGGTTTAAAATCAGGCTACAACAGGTCTAAAAATGAAATTTTTGAGACATCTAAATTTAGACCAAGTTTAAACTAGCCTACTAACAGAGCTATATCTATATTACGCTGTATATTGCTCAACAGCTATCATAATTATTTTGGTTAAGTACTTGGAGTTTAGTTATGCAACTCACAGTTGCTTTTTGAAATAAATAGTTATTAAATAATGGGATAAAGTGCAACATTGAAATTCCGTCTAAAACTTACAGAATCAAGACAGTTGAAATTAGGTCTACAAAAAACTAGACGTCTGTCTATTGCTCAGTGGGTTACAATATATCATTAGTTACCATATCTCAGAATAATTCTGAGGTGACTTTATTTTTCATAGTTGATTTATGATAGTCAAACAAATATTTAACAGCTCACTGTAAATCACTAATCTTTTTTTTTTCTTACCCTAAGGAATATTTATTTCCAGTTTTCCAGTTATTTAGCCAAATAAAAGACATTTAAAGCTCTTGTAAGAAACCTCCTGTATGTACAGATTTTGATGACCCCTCTGGACAAAGCAGACTTACATTATCGTGTCCTCTACATGCTAAAACAGTATCTTCACTTCACTCAAATGTATCAGATGTTGTGAATATTTTACACGAAAATTGTAAAACTGACAGGCATTAAAATTAGGAACATACTCTGGTCCGCCCCTGCTTGTCTTGTTCGCTTTTGGATATCATAAAAAGGGATCAAATCTATTATTTTTTATGAATATTAAATGTGATGAATGTAAAAACAGGGCTTTTTCCTCAGCAGCTCCACCAACACCTACCCTCTCGCACTGATTTCAGGCATCAAAAACAACAGCATTAAAATTGCTGATGGTCTTGTTCGTTTTTGTGTATCATAAAAAAGCATCGATTTTAATTTTAGTCTGTTTGATAAATGTAAAAAAAATCCTTTAGTGCTCTTTGAATGTACTAAAACATATATTGCATTGCGGTGCTACAGCTGTATCATTACATGAATTCATGAATAACAATGATGCACCATATTCAGTGATTTTAAACTCAAATGATCAACATCCTGTATAACCAGTGATTACATTTCAAACCACTTTACGTTGATTGTGTTTTCATTGAAAGAAGAAGTTTTAATTGGAGAACTTTTACCCACACTGTTGTATTCCTACCCTTAAAAAAAAGTCGATGCTTTGAAATCTTCCAACACCGCAGCTGACATAAACACTCCAACATGAAACAAACACTGGTATAAAGATTTCACACACCAAAGTTCAGTCTTTATCAAACACGAGGTTGTATTTGCTTTGTTTTGCCCCTGTGAATACAACACAGAGAGCCATCACGCTGAACAAAAAGCGTGCTCATGTGCGAGAAGTATAAGATGTGACTCAAAGCTACTTCAGCGGGGACTCTGTGCAAGCTATTCATCATTACTCTGCCTAGAATAATACACATAACAACTGCAGTCAGCTGCAGCGGTCTCTATGGAGACAGATAAATGATACATTACAAGATACAGATAGAGAGCTGAAAAGAAACACAAAGAAAGAAAAGTGCTAACTGCAACAGTTTCGGTTTCATTATGAAGTAAAACAATGAGCAGATCACACCTTTTTACTCTCAACACAATCACTCACAATGAAGGGGCCAACAATCCCACCCTCATTTAGAGGACGATCAAAGCCTCTCTCTCTGAGTGAGCTGGCATATTGGTTCCTCAATGTTGTTTTCAATTTCACCAGTATGCAAATTTTCCCCCACATTTGCTTGGGAAGTAATGAGGAAAATAAGGAAGCTCTAACCCCAGATGAAAAGGAAATGGCTTTTGAAATGACACGCATGCACTGTTTTGTGGTTGTGCACTCCAAAAAACAAACGGATACAAATGCTGTCACAGAATATTGGCCATAAACAAAACAAACAAAAAATTGGAACATAGTTGTGCACCCCTGATAAATTGCACGCTCTATCTCTTCAGTGTTTTTATTCCTCAAGCCACTATCTCTTTTCAGAAATC